AAAAAATACATTAATTTAATCTGATTTTCAAAAAATTGTTATAATAGTAGTGATTTGGTTTCGATACCATTTAGGTCATAAGTGGCAGTTTTTACCATGTTATATGTATATATTAAACAACTCGTACAACGACAACAACAACTGGTTGTGACTACATATCATTATTTCTAGACTGAATATCCTTGCTGAGTGTGTAGGGTGGTGTAGTGTAGTTTAGTGAAGTGTGGTATGATGTGATGTGAGGTACACCCAAGGCTATACATCTACATGTATAATCATTTGCAGACATTCAGTTATGTGCTATATGTGCACATATGCCAATATATTTAACCAAAAGTGCCTTGGTATGTCTACACACACACACACACACACACACACACACACACACACACACAGGTATCGTTGCACTTACTAAGCTTACTTATTTACGTCATTTATTTGGCTATGATGTGTTCATACTTGTTGTCTAGGCTAGCAAGTCGAACATTTGTTTATACGTTCGTCGCATAATAATAATAATAATAATAATAATAATAATAATAATAATAATAATAATAATAATAATATCGTGGTATAAAATATAAGTTGAATAAGGCAGTTATAAACTAAGAATTGTGTGTATACAATTGCTAATTAATGTGTTTACATTTAATTAGTTTTATATTTATACTAATTAAATAATTGATAATGAATTCACAAAATGAACAAAAAAATTGTTGAAAACTTTACCAAGTTTCAAAATCACTGACGTGTATAATTTTTAAATGTAGGTAGGTTTTAAGGTGGTGGCATCTGATTATTGTTACGCCTCCATTTCATCCCACTCTGTGTAGTCCTTTTTATCTGGCTCCACGACCGCCCATAGATTTTTATCTCCTCTCTCCCGTGTCACCCTTGAATACACACACGTCCAACTTATCCTTTCCTACCTAGTTTGGGGTTCCACTCGAATGGGGTAGCCTAGCTGAGGTGTGATGTCACTCAGCGATCTCTTCAGAATATGTGTCCATTTCCCTTTGTGTATCTTTTGGGCTACATGTTCTTGAATGGTTTGTCACATTACAGAGTTTCTTGTTACTAATCGTTTTTGACGACCTGATGTTCAGTATGAAACAAAACGGGCAGCTTTTGATAGAAGTCTCCACAATCATGTTGACGCGTCTGCCAAATCTTTGAAATATATAGAAGCTATTAAAAAGCTATTATCAATACTCCGATGACCCAAAAAGACAGTTGTAGCGAAGAAAATTTTCTTTCCGACGAAGTCATCATCTAGGCTGTACATTCGTGGATTTATATCAAATGGATGGGAAAGTTCCAAAATAATTTCCGGTTAAGGGTCAAATTAATAAAAATTACAATTAGGAATTAAAATGCCATAATGAACAAGGGGACGGATAAAACTCAAACAAAGTAGCATCATAATAACTAAGAAGATTGACATTGTGCAGTTGGGGGTTAGAAATATAGAAATAACAAAATAGACAGGATGTTTGGATAAAAAAAACTAATGTGATTGATAATTGTTTATGCAATCAGGGATTAAATATGTAGAAATAGTAAAATGACAAAATGAACAGGAAGTTCGAATATGAAAATATGGTAAACAGGGATTAAGAAAAACTTAAAAATAACATGAATAAACAGGAAGTTTATATAAGAAAGGCGATGGGATGGTCATTACTAAGAAATTACCTGTTTATGATGGCCATGACAGGGGCAGGGGTTGGACGTATTTCTTTTGGATACAGCGTGGGTTTGAGCTTTTGGATAGCTAGTGCTTCGGCTATGCCCAGATGTCTTAATTTCACCCCCTTTGGTAGGTTTAATTGAATCTTGTATATTACTTTTAAGGATTTTTCGAAAGGTGCTGAATGTCCTGAATTGACTAGATGTTCTGTCACTGAACTGTATACACGTTTTTGGTCTCCTTTTACTAGCCAGACTGGATAGTGTTCACGAGCGTGTTTTTTCAAGTCGGCGCATGGTACGGCCGATGTACTCAGCTCCACAAGAGCAAGTAAACCGGTATATGCACGTTGAGGTAGCCCAATGCGACAGCTTGTCCTTCGCGTTCTGGCTGAACAGTTTCTTGCAGGAAAACGTCAGTTGTAGGCTCGCGGCGAAGTATGTTTTCCTCAGTGATTTGGAGAGGCGTTTACGAAGGATTTCTGCTTCAATATCACCTTTGAATTCTAGATTAAGCAGAAGCATTTTCTTTGGGACGGATTGGACTTGTTCGGAAGTCTTCTTAGATTTGAGATTCTTGTCTATGAACCTGGGGGGGGGAAACCGTTTTCCATCAGGGTTTTTCGTAGTTTATGCAGTTCTTTTTTCAATCACTTCCTCGCTGCATATCTTCCTAATCCTCGAGGAAAGAGCGTATATCAGGTTCCTCTTTCTGCTTAGGGGCACGAAGCTTTGAAAGTTGATGAATTGTCCATTCCATGTAGGCTTTTTGTATATGGACCTTTTCAGAGAGTTGTTGACTGTTTCTTGTCAGATGGACGTCGAGGAAGTAGAACATTCCATCGGATTCAGTCTCAAGTATAAAGTCGATATATGGGTGGGTGTTATTAAAGTTTTGAAGTAGGTTTTTCAAATCACAATTCTTATCACAAATAATGAAGTATCATCGGTGTATCCCTCGTAGAGATGAAGGTCGTTGATAGTTGGTGATAAAGAGTTGTTTTCTAAGCTAGCCATAAAGCAGTCGGTTAGGAGGGGTCCTAAGAGAGAACCCATTACTACTCCATCTACTTGCCTGTATGTTTCCTTGCTGAAACCAAAGTATACGTTGAAGGTGCATCGAAGTAACAGTTTTTTCAGGTAATGGATCGGTATACCGACATCGACATATATAGAAGCATTGACTGGTTATGCATTAGGGATGAAAATCCGAACCTGATGGAGGAGAATTGTGAGAAGGTGAACTGTTACACTTTTATGCAAAATCCTATGTTGGAAGTTGTATTTATTTCAGTTCAATTTAAGCGGGTTTTTCACTATGTAATGCTGCAAAACATGGATTTTCAAGAACAAAAGTATATACACAAGGAAGTTACTGCTTTCGTATTATGAATATCAGTGTGTTCTATTATTCTTGTCTGATGATACTCTTTGTAGAAAGGATTAGGCGTAGAATAATGGGCATAAAAGACAAATTATGAAAAATTCTCATATAGTATGTGAATTAAGAACTTAGATGTAGGCAGCAAAGAAAGTGTCGTCTTTTCTTAACTTCTTATCAAAAGAAGGGTTTATATGCGTAATGCTATCTACCAATAAGGGTAAGAGATTGTTGTGAGTTTGATCGTGAGCTGACATCACTTATAGAATCGCTGGAAAACCAAGGAGTACTGGACAACTGTTTCGTCCTAGTTTTTGGGACTCCTCGTCAGTACTCACACATGACTTTCATGTTACAAAGCGACCACGTTGACCATTCATCCAGTGACCAATCAATTCTAACTCTTGGTAAATCACGATATATATATATATATACATATATATAGCGTGATTGCGAGCCAATGTAACTGGGGCGTAATAATCCTCATACCCTACCTACCTGGTGGACGTCACTAGAACTTCAGACAATCTCCTCTTGTAATCTGTCACTGGTGTATACTAGAATAGTTTTTCAATTATTGATTTACAGGAATTCGATTTATTTTTAAGATATTTTACAATCCTAAAATGAATAAATAAATATATTTTCTCAAAAGAATGGATACTGAACAAGGAGTATTCTTTTCGATAAAGCCTTCTTCATCAGGCTCTGCAGTTATATATTGATATGTATCCATATACATATATATATATATGTATGGTGATCTCTCTTTCTGTTTGCTCTCTTAGTCTGTGACCATTGCACTTTGATGAACCTGTCTCCTTTAACAATGTATATTCTCCTTATATTATATATAATATAATATGAGTGTTTGTTGACAGTCCGTTGCTTAGTGACATATGTCCATATATGGTGGTTGTTGACATGTCTGCTATATTTTGCTATGTATATATGGATCGACACTCCATTATAATTAGCCATTCATGTTAAGACTGTCTATTGATTTGTTCACACACTTGTCTGGATGGTCATATATATTTCGCTCACACAAGCTTGTGTGACTTACTGACTTCTTTGGTGTGAGACCACTTTTTGCATTCTCCTTGTGTTTGGAAAATAGAAGTATCATCGCAAACCTAGTGGTCTTCTGATTTCCGCCTTCTTGCGTCAGGACTATTAAATTCTCGACCAATACATAACAATAATTTGGCGACGAGTACATAACAATTTGGCGACGGGGAAAACTACTATTAACCACTCAGCAGCAGCAACATAACATATATACATTATTGTGAATGAATGAATTAGTGTTATGAACAAAATTAATGTTTGTTTAAATAACATCGGATCAATAATAATAATAATAATATCAATGGATTACAGCTCAATAGCATCAACATAAAATAAACTGAATGTCAGAAGATTTAGGAAAGATAATATTGCAAATTCATGAATTTATAGTCTCTACTGAAGGCTGGCCAGGGCAGTAGTAGTGGCTGGCGGCTGGACTTGCTTCTCTTGAACACAGAGCACTGGTTGTTTGAGGCAGCGAATTGCAATAGCTTCTGCTATTTGGAGCACGTGGTGCTTCGATGATTCGGGCAATTTACTAGGCACCCGGTAGATGATTGTGAAGAAGGATTCTTCCGCGTTGGCTGACTTTCTGGCTGGCCGGTTTGCATCAGATGGTCCAATATCGAACTGTTCATGGTTTTAACTACACCTTTACTTAGCCATAGTGGGAGATATTCTTGAGCGAGCACGAAAAATCAAGTTCCTAGAACAACGGCCAATATAACTCGCTCTAGCACAAGCGCAGTTGAATTTATTTTTTTATCATTATTTTGAAATTATTTTATTTTTATTATTTTGAAGTATATATATATATTTCCTTTTTTTGTTGTTGTAATTTATTAATGTATTGATTCAGGTGAAAACTGAATCAACTGTCGGCATAGATGCTTGTATAACATGTAAATTCTTCGTTGAAACAATTTATGGTCAATTGCAAAATAATAAGACAGAAGATGAGTTAAGACAGTTAATTAAAGGTGCATGCTCTATCCTACCTAGCGGTTTTGCTGACAGAGTAAGTTTTCTTTTCCTCTCTCTATACTCTAAGTGAGTACATGATTTATAAAAAAAATTGTGTGATTTACAGTTCTTTCTTTTAGCTTAGACTCAGTTATTAATCGTATGATATCAAAAAAATAATTGAGGAAAGAATATCCTTTTTGATAAATTCCTCTTCTGGCTCTCCAATTATATATATCTGCCTATATAAATAGAATATTCTAGATGAGTAGTCAATAACAATATTAGTGTTTCTTTTTAATAATATCGATTTGTAAAGTAAGATCAATGTCATTAAAGTTCATTAAAGATGCTTAAATTATAATAATAATAATAAAGATATATTAGCAAATAGAATATCAACTAAAATTAGGAAAATTCCACAAAATTCAGGATCATTCAAACCTATATGACTGAGGTAAGGATAATACTTGAACTAACTTCTTTTGGACGGAAAAATTAGGCTTCTTAATGTGGATCCCAACAGTCAGCCTCAGCAGTATTTAGTAGTCGAACGCTTAAGACAAAATTGAGATTCGTAGGTATGCGGTAAATGACCCTGAAAGCATGGTTAATGTCAATCTTGTTGTTCTGTTGCAACCACAAGATGAGATAGAATGGTGCTGCGAATAGATTTTGTTTGTCCTTTGCTTAACTACCATGCAGGTTGATGTTTGGAAATTCGATGAGAAACACGCTTAATTGTACGGTCTATGCAATTAACTGACTCCACAGGAGCAGTTAAATTGGTAGATAGATACACATGGAAGAGGCGAGATTATTCAGTTTGTCTTTTACTCCCGAACGCAAAAGAGGAGTAGTTTTGAAGATACGGTGCAATTCGCCAGCATGGGATGCTCTTTTTACCGCATTTCTAAGGCGCTGTGTTAGTATTTCACTGGTGTTATCCCCAAGGGACTGCATTTGTAAGAATAAGACTTTCTTTTGGAACTATTGGTAACTTTTCCGTATAACCATTTTCACTTAGCAACCTTTTAATATTATTAAATTCCTCATCAAGACATTCGTCCGATCAAATTGCTTTTGCTCTGTGAACCAAGTACTTTATCAGATTGCGTTTTTATTTCAAGGGCACGAAGCCTAGAAAATGAGTATATTGACCTCATCTCTAATGAACTGTAATTCCATTGATCTTATTTAACGAATTAATATTATTTAAAAAGACACTAATATTGTTATTAACTACTAATCTAGAATATTCTATGTATATAAACATGCATATATAATTGTAGAACCAGAAGAGGAATTTATCGAAAAGGATATTCTTTGGTCGATTGTTTTGTTTTTTATAGATGTCTGAATAAATATTTTCGCTATTTGATATCAAACTGTCATATCGTATAATTAAGTAACTAACTGACTACCTGATGGTAATAATAACTAACGTCCTATACGGTTTTCAAAGCTTATATACATAAACTGTGATGCAATCTTCTCTGTAATTTATAACTTCTTCTACAATTATGACCCTTGTAGAGTCTGAATTTCTGTTTATAAGAATTAATGAACCTGAGGACTGAAGCTATACACAAATTGTGGGAAATACCCATTGGAACATTAGATTGAAAAGAGCAAGAAGTTCAGCAAAGATGTCGATCTTTTCGGCGATTTCATTCTCAAAAGCAGCTGTACAATCGCATTTATATAAATTAGTTTACATGGATACAGTTATTATTTGTTTAATTCCACACAGTAACGAAGGTGATAATAACTTTCAACTTGATATGAAAGTTTGAAGGTAGGAATATAGATTGCAAGAGGCATAGAAACAAAATATTACACAGAATTAGAATATAATTGTAAAATGGTTATTCTAAACGGATTACAAGTGTGATCAGGAGTAGGAGCATGGAAACAAACTTAAGATAACTGATTTTATAACTGAAAAAATGGGATGAATTGAATGAAGACAAAGAGAGAAAATTACACACACAGATAACAAAGTAAAAAACTGTAGGATAAGGGAATATACTGAACTAGGTCCATGGTAGTTGTAAAGGCTGGACTAGTTTATTTTGAACGCATAGCTCCGGTTTTTCGATGCATATGGCGAGAGCTTCTTTGTACTGCGGCAGTTTTATTATTAATTTTGCATACGTTGTAACTGTTTTCTAATCTTATGCAATCTTGTCTCTAAGCCCCTTGTAATCTATATTCGTACTTTCTAACTATCATATCAAGTTGAAAATTATTATCACCTTCGTTACTATATGGAATTAAATAGATAATAATTGTATCCATGTAAACTAATTTATATAAATGCGATTGTACAGCTGCTTTTGAGAATGAAATCGCCGAAAAGATCGACATCTTTGCTGAACTACTTGTTCTTTTCAATCTAATAATATACACAAATTCTCTTTTGAATGAATTCGAACAAAGCAGTAACAATACATGATGGAGGACAAAACACAAGGATCTATTGTTTATTTCATCAGCTAGTTGCATACAATCTCTATGTAATAAAATTTAATAGATCACAATTACAGCTTTAGCCTACTTTAGTTCTCAAGTGTTAGTTTGTAGGGATTTGATTAGTGTTAGAGAACTACTGCAAAAACCGTCCCCAAGGAGCACTGGGGAGTTGTTTCGTCCCAGGTTGAGACTCTTCTTCATCACCCATGATCCCATTGTTAGGGATCGGATCCAGGACTATTCAGTCATTGGGAGTGGTGGATCCAATGGCCGATGAATTCCAGTTTTAGCTGATCGGAGATAAATTAATGTGGAGCAATAATTAAGAATGATCACAGTATATATACATAAATTAATCTAAATGTTAAGTCAGTAAAATACAGAATACTGTTGTACTTATGTGTGTGTGATGTAATCAAAATTTCTCGCATGAAACAAAAAATGTAAGAGGGAGGAGATATATAGCAACAGGATATTTTGGCATACACATTATATAAGATTACATAAGTCACTAGCAAAATTGTCAATACATAAATGCGATATATTGGCAGTCACCTCTCTATCTCAACTTCATCGACTTTGAAAAGGGCTTCCACAGACAGCGTCTATCAAGAGGTGATTCGGAAACAACTTCGCTGCTACCATGGGGTCCCGCCGACAATTATACATCTCATCCAACAGTTGTACGACAATGCTGCATGCCAAATAATCCATAACGGGAAACTTACGGAATCCTTCCAAGTAAAGGCGGGAGTAAGACAAGGCTGTCTGTCTACTATCTCCAATGATTGTCCTGATTGCAGTAGATTGGATAATGCGACAGACAGTGGGCAGAGAGGAAACAGGCATAAAATGGACTCACACAAAGTACTTGGAGGGTCTGGACTTCGCCAATGATGATATATGTCTGATTTCCCACAAAGTGGAAGATATGCAAGTGAATTGCAACAAGTTGACCGAACAAGCATCCAGAGAAGATAGGACTTCAGGTGAACATAGATAAAACGGAGGTAATGAAGATTCCTGACCAACACCAACAGCAACAACAACAACAGACAACAATCAGCCAGCATAAATGGGAGGAACCTGAAAGAAGCAACCTTCTTAACTTACCTACCTGGGAAGCATCGTTTGAACTACAGGCGGAACTGACGAGGATATCAAAGCGATGATCGGGAAAGCAAGACAAGCTTTCATTGCTCTCAAGTCTGTGTAGGGGTCAACAGCACTCAGAATCAAAAATAAGATCCGGATTTTCAACTCCAATTTGAAGTTAATCAGACTTGGTGCGTCATAAAGAGCAGCTCAAACAAACTACACACCTTCATCCACAACTGTCTTCGCTCAATACTACTCAAGATCAGATGACTGGTCGGCCAGAAAAGATCAGCAACGGGGATCTCTGGCAATGAGCGAACCAACACAGCAGGAACCGATTGTGCAACAAATAAGCAGACCATGCTCTGAGGAAACCATCAAGTGACATCACCAAACAAGCCATTGCTCGAGTGGAACCCGAAAGGGAAGCGGCGAGTTGGTCGTCAATGCGAGGGTGACATGGAGGAGGTCATGTGAAGAGGAGATGAAAGCATGTGGGTAGACTTGGAGCCAGGTAAAAACGTTGACAGAAAAGCGAACGCAACGGAGACGCACGGCTGAAGCCCTATATCCCTCTAGGAATTAAAGGAAATAATAATATTTTGAGTTGAGCTTATATGATTAGATATCAGACATACGAAGCGTAACCCTTATTAAATGCTGATGTAACTAAGTAAGAGTGCAAAGAACACATCACTTCTATTTCCATAAAAGATGATAATAGAATTAATTAAGGTGTTTAATGAAGGCATGCGAAGACTTACTACAGCTTCTTCTTTCTGAATACATAAATCAGGTTTTAATCGTTGGATAGCGATGCATCTCAGTATCTTTTCTCTACTCATACTCCCCACTTCTATGTTCTATTCTAGAAACTTTGAGCATATTACTCATATATTTCACTAACTTAACATTTGATTGATTCATTTATTATACATAATATGATCATTCCTAATTATTGTTCCACATTTCATTTCTCCATTACAAATAAAGAGTTATGTTAAGACTGTTGTAATAGAACTATTAAATTTAGTTATTTAGATTTTATTACATCTGACAAGATATCGATTGATGAAATAAACAATATATCCGTGTTTTATCCTACACTGTGTGTTGCTGCTATTGTTTTCTTCATATTAAATACTTTCTATGGTTGGTTTGTAAGAATTAGTTTTGTTTTTACGAGTTTGACGACGGATTGATATCAGTTAGAGAACCATTGGAAACCAGGGAGTACTGGACAGCTGCTGTTTCATCCTAGTTTGGGAATCATCGACAGTACGCATCCACCTCAATGGGGTTCGAACCCAAGACCTTCCAGTTACAAGGCAAGCTCGTATACCTTTCAGCCGCTGGGACCCGACTTAATGGTCAGTCCATGAATTCTAACTTCTACCTATTTGTGATTTAGTGTGACCCCAACCAATATCGTCGGTGGGACATCCATCCTCACACGGGACATCTGGTTGGACCTTACTGTTCACGACTTCTCACTAGAACTGACTCCAGGAAACTCCATCCTGTAGCAAGTCACTAGCGAGCATCAGATTAATTTTCTATAGTTGGTTTGTAAGGATTAGTTGGATCTTGGGTCCCAGTCACTGGATGGTGTACCAGCTTTCCTTGTAACAGGAAGGTCTTGGGTTCGAACTCCAGTGAGTACGTACTGCCGATGATTCCCAAACTAGGATGAAACATATGTCTGTCCAGCACTCCGTGGTTTTCAGTGGTTCTCTAACTGATATCAATCCGTGATCAACTCATATTAACTATACCTACATTTGTGTGGAGATCCACTATACTATCTAACCAATAAAATCTTCATATATAAGGCGGAATTTCAACCTTTGGACCAGTAGTTAAAAATCATATATATCTTCAATGTTAAATGTCACGTCCTGCATTCTTAGCATACTGTTTCTTTTTTCTCTGTATTGTATTGAATTTTACACTGATGCCATGTTGTGTCTAAAGTGATAATTAAAACTTCGCAAATCAAAATCATCATCCACGTGAACCTTCTTTATGTATTTCGAAATTGGTTTATGTAAATAATTCTCCTTTGTTTTGTCATAAGACTTCATCCTTGACTTCTTTGTATCTTTTAGGGGAAGAAATGTCATGTTCAGTGATTCATGTTCATTCAGTGTTTATCAGAATAAACACAGCTAATAAATAATCCGGCATACAACTATTTTATTAAGTGTTGTTTTGTAGGGATTTGGTTGATTGGTTACAGGATTTCATCATGAGTTGACATTGGTTAGAGAGCCATTGGGGAATCTGAGAGTACTGCCAGATAGCTATTTCACCGTAGTTTGGGAATCATCGCCAGTACGCAACCACCGGGGTTCGAACCCAGGACCTTCTGGTTGCAAGGCAGGCTAACTCGTAAAACGTTAAGCCACAAGGACCTGATCCAATGGCCCATGAGTTCTAACTTCTGCGAATTCACGACCTAGCGCGATCCCTAGCCAATGTCTTCCGCGAGTATTTATCCTCACAGCTGACCTGCCATACCTTACTGGTGACGACTTCTCACCAGAACCCCAGGTAACTACCTATATGAATAGGGCAGTATTCTTAAAACACAAACTTTTGATACAATATAGGCAGCAAGAGATGTGCGACACAAAATATAGTAGTTTATTTATGTGAGGGCTGGAGTATTGCCGGGACTCCCAGTCCGAAATAGGTAGTTGTCTTCTTAACCGGGCCTCTCCCTTAATCTTTGTTGTTGATATGAATTCTGATCCGAAAGACAGTAGGGGCGGAGCAGCGTCAAGAGCTATATTCCCGTGGTTTCAGATGACCGAAGTATAGGTTCATACTCCTTTCGATCCTTTCAGATTTTCGAGCGCATGCACACCTCTGGTTTTGAATCGCGGGGTTTTCAAAAATTCCCTGAGACTAACCAGTATATCCACCAGTTTTACTTTTGCGAAGGACATCCCCGCCACTTGAAAGCAGTGAATATAAGACTTACCTGGCCATAGACTGTGAACGCATGGCCATATGACAGTATTTTGAGAGGCAGTCCGAAGTCTAGTCATCCTTGACCGTGCAATGTCGTTCATACAGTACTGACTTCCTTTCAGATGAGTAATTTTTAACTTGTATAGTTTAATCTGTCTGAAAGTGACAATTGTTTGCCTCTCAGTTAAAATAGTGAATAATTTTCACGGTTAGAAGGCTACTTGTCAATGGGTATAACCTAAGAAGCGAATTTTAGTCATCAACCGTTGATTGCGTATAAATGGTTAGAAGATTCTTCATAACTCAGATGTTATGCGTGATAATAATAATGGTCTTATTCTGGATATTATGTTTAAACACAATGCAGAATTTCCAGCACGATGTTTTGCAAAATCCTTACTTGTATATAATCTCTAAGTAAAATGTTCTTCTACAGTATACCGTATGATGATGCAACTTCTTTCTGCCTGAAACCCCAGTTCAATCCTCTATGGCATTTCTCCGTCATTTTCTTTTTGAAGTGTACAGTCATGATAGGTTGGAAGTCAGTTAGAAAATCACCTGAGTTCGTCTTGAGACCCAAAGACGTAACTGGAAGATTAAGACAACAACCGTAGGAAACGGAGAAAAATAGATGGATGCATTATGCTGAATGGAAGAAATTTAGGTAGTCCAGTGGTTTAAGCAGGCCCATTCTGCATTACTGCCTTCCAAGGTGCAATCTGTCTCTCTTTCTGTTTTCGACATAGAACTTTGCACCTATGTGCGCCAGTTCAAGTCGCCACACTCCCTCCATGTAGCACACAAAGCAAGAGAAGAAAGTAGAAGAAATCCATAGTAGACACATTAAACAGAGGTGTGAGACAAAGGAATAGTAATAACGAAACACAATATAGTTTCATTGGAAATCATAAATCACAAGGAGTGGATGCATCTGCACCAGCCATTGAGAACGATCACTTTGAGCCATATCACCAATTGTTTCCAGCCATTAGTTTTTACCGTCCCGAGGATCCCAACTAGGAAGCCAGTCTACACTTTCCTACGTGGCTGGCTTACACTAACTGTTTTGGATTTGATTGACTGGTGCCATGTTTTGGTTTGACCGCTGCTAGCTCTTTTCCAGCCTGACTGACCCTATGTCAGCTAACATTATCCGTAGTCGAGGAAGGCAATGACTAGGCATACGTAACACATGCCCTAACCATCGCTCTCAGTAGATGTAATTTCACAGCCTCTTCGATTGATTTCCCCTCCTTACTTATCACCCGAACGACGCCTAAACTCAATATTGCTCACCTTATTATACCACTTCACACGGGAGATAGAACTCAGGCACCTATGATAAAAGACAGCTAGCCATGCTTTTCATGTCTTCCACTCTCAATGGCCAGGTCTCACTCACAGCCATAAAGGAGGACGGAGCGGACTGATGAACAGTACACTCGCCCTTTGTTCGATAGCCAGCCGGATATTACGTCTACGCCAGAGACACCGTAAACTGGAATATGCGAAACTAGCCCTCTGTATCCGTGCTGAGATTTCGTCAGAGATCAACCCGTTGGCACTGGCTGATGGTACTCTCCAAATAAGTGAAGCGGTCAACGTGCTCTACCACTTCACTCCTTATTTCTCATTTGGCAGTCAGTGTAGTTCAGTCCTGAAGAATCATCTTAGATTTGGTGGGAGTGAATCGCATGCCAAACATACGCAAATCGCAACTCAAGGTGTTCAGAAAACTGCATTTTGTCAGCGTCCTCGTCTAGAAGGACTATATCGTCTGGATATTCTAAGTCAACGAGATTATTCCCTGGTAGCAAGTCAGTCCCTGAGTCTCTGAAGTGAGTTAGGGTTAAGTGCATTAATACGTCTGTGATGAAATTGAATAGAAATGGGAAGTAATGAGCATCCCTGACGGACACCACTAGTCGTCAATAATATGACCATTACGCAGATGTCTACCTGTTAACCCCATGAGACACTGGTACTTTGAAATGGGAATTAATATTACCTGTTTACTGGAGGTCTGACAGGTAGGAATAGATTAGAAGGAAAGAAATGCCAGTGAGCAGTCACTGTTACACTCTATTCAGCTGTAATCGTGAAGAAATTTTGATGAGCTTCATGGTTTTGGGTGATAGGTAGTCATTATTTTTCATGCAAATGCGTATTTTTTCATTCCTTTACGTTCTCAAAGGAACATAGGGTATCAGGGGCTGTGATCTTTCAGTAGCGGTGTTGTTGTTGCTGTTGCTTTGTTTTTCTGGCCGGGGTTGCTAACTTGTTCTCCTAGCTTGCTAACACCACCTAGGAGAGAGGTGTAGGAGTTCATGGGCCGGAGACCAAATCCTGTCGTACCACATGTGCGTAGCTGGTGAGCGTTTAATCCCTGAACCACTACTGAGGCATACACCACGAATGTGCAATGTTGAATTATAATTTTCTTTTTATATATCACTCAAAAATTCTTATATATTTTTTCCCTTCTTTATTCTCTCTAGTGTTCTGAATTGGTTGATCGTTATTTTGATGATGTACTCAAGTTAATAGAAAACAGTTATACTCCTGAACAAATATGTCACGTAAGATTTCCCTTTGAAATTAGAAATTGTGCGCAGATGTTTGTTTTTTTGTATTTGTTTCTTTTTATAGATAAATTCAAGTGATCTCGATAACTAAAAATTAATGTAGAATCTATTGAAGACTAAAAAACTATTGAATAATAGTCATTTTGCCTTTGTTTTTAGGGCTGATGTTTTGTGGATGTGTAAATTGTCGATTACTGACTTAAATCTAAATAGCTATTAAGTCCTCATTGATTCTCAGCGGGTGTGTGGTTTTTGGAAAAGTCTACCACACAGAAATACTCTAGTCATAATCCAGCTGCGATATTTACGTTAAACACCAAACTACACATAACCACACAGATATTCAAAAACAACTGTATTATTATTACTATTGTTCCCTTGGGTTCCTAGTGAAACATAGGGCTTCAACTGCACGTCTCCACTTGCTTCTGTCTTCCTTTTGCTGTACTTTTCACCTCCATCCATGTTAGTCCATAGTCTTTCAACTCCTCTTCACACGATCTCCTCCATGTCATCCTTGCACTGACGTCCCACTCGCCGCTTCCCTTTTGGTCTGGTTCCACTCGAGAAATGGCCTGACGCGCGCGCGATATCACCCAGTGGCCTCCACAGCGAGCGAGTGTCCAATTCATCTCCACTTTCTTTTGCATATTTCTTGGTTGGGAAGTTGGTTCTTATTTTGTTTGTTACCACCCATGGTTTCTTGTTGGTGATTCTTTCCGGCCGGCCATCTGATCTTCAGCCTAGAGCCAGCGAAGACAGTTGTTGGTTGATAAGGGTCTGCAACAGGCTGTTGGAAATATTGTTTGTAACCCCCCGGCCAAGTTTCTGATCCGTATAGAAGAACTGACTGACTTGACGTGTTTGTATTGAAAATCCGACTGAATTTTGTTGTTGATTCTGGCTGAGTGACGAAGATTTCCAGATTGGTTTCAGGTTGATGAATGTGTTTCTCACTCCCCCCTCCGATTCTCGCTGGATTTGACATCCTCGTCCGTTCCTACTGCCTGTAGTTGATACAATGCCCCTTAGATAGGTGAAGTGACCTCTTTCAAATCCCTCCCGTTGATGGTGACTGGCGCTGGATGTTGCTGCTGTTGTTGTCATTGTTGTTGGTTGGTTATTTTCATAACCTCCGTCTTGTCTATGTTCACTTGGAGTCCTGTCTTCGCCGGCTGCTTCTTCGACCAGTTTGTCGGTCGGTTTTCGCTTGTAAGTCTTCTATTTTTTGTGGCATCAAGCATAAATCATCGACGTGCGAAATCCAGGTCTTCTAGGTTCTTCACATCGGTCCAGGATATTCCTGTCTTCTCGTTTCCCACTGTCTGACGCATAATCCAGTCGGTTCATCACAATTAGGAATATCATTGGTGATAGATAATAAGCCCCCTTGCCTGACTCCTGTGTTTACTCCAAACGCCTCGCTGGGTTTTCCGTTGTGGATCACTTGACATGTGCCGTTGTCGTACAGCTGTTGAATAAGGTTGATGAATATTTGGGGCACTGTACGCCGTAGTACTCGAGTAGTTTCCAAATTACTTCACGATCAACGCTGTCGAAGGCCTTCTCAAAGTCAATAAAGTTGAGGTAGAGGTTTGATTGCCATTCCATGCTTTGTTCTGTGATGATGATGTGTAGAGTTGCAATTTGGTCAGAACATTATTTGCCTTTCCTGAATCATTATAATTGGTGTCCAGTTACTTACTCATGTTAGTTAACCATCAGTATATTACGTTAGGCTTCCACAGATACAGTTTGAAATAACATGGGAGGGAGCTGCCTTTCGACCTCTGATTGCACCAAAACTAACTAAACAGTTTCTTCATATTAGCCTACTAATCTGCACACTTTTAGTTGCATTTTATGTAATCTTTACTTCTGATGATGTGGACTATATTTCAAACGGATTCCCTGTTTTGGTTTTGTGTAATAAATTTTGCCATATATTAAATGTGTAGACACACCGATGCACATACGCACAAAGACACATGCAAATATAATTATATATATTAATTGCTTATTGTACAACTGTTGTAGTCAACAAAATTAACGAAAAGCATCACTTCCATTATTGAATGAACCATTTTTAATCTTATTTTTTTTTTCATTCTTTGTTTAATTTATTCGGAATAAATTCTCTAATCTATAGGATCTTAGTCAGTTTTAATTATTGACAGTTGAAACATACGCACGGACGCATGCACACACGCAAGCCAACGCATTCAAGCACAGACGTTTAACAGTACCCATGTAATTTGTTCCTTTAATTATCTTACGAGTTCTAAAGAAATAACCTTTTATCATTAGGGGTGGGGGTGGGGCGTTGAAGGGAGAGGATTGTTTTTGTACTTACAGTCCTTTCTTTTTTTTCGCTTTCTCTATCCACATTTGTCTACATCTGGATTTAGAAGACAGAAGGATGTCTAAATGGGGATTTCTTTTTTGCACCATATTAATCTGCATTGCATACAAATTGTTTGTGTTCTTCGCTTATCTTTTTCTTTTTTGTCTTTTTTATTGATTTTATTTAGTCCACTTTTTTACTCGTTATCTTCGTCTTCTTCTTGTTCTTCTTATTATTATTAATCTGCATCTCCTTTTTTCTCAACGGAGAAAATGTGAAGTGATTTGAGAGGTCTTTAGCCTTTTCATTTTTAATATTTTTCTGCATCTTAATATGATGCATAGATTTCTTTTTACAGGTTTATTTCTCATCTGACGTTTATAAGGATAGAGAGAAGTGTATATCGAGAGGAAAATTATTACTATTATTATTTCCTTTAATTCCTAGAGGAACATAGGGCTTCAGCCGTGCGTCTCCATTGCGTTCGGTTCTCTACTAGAGTTTTCACCTGGCTCTACGTCTGCCCACATGCTTTCATCTCCTCTTCAAATGAACTCCTCCAAGTCACCCTCACACTGACGACCATTTCTCCGCTTCTCTTTCGGGTTCCACTTGAGAAATGTCTTGTCTAGTGATGTCACTTGATGGTTTATTTTCTCAGAGTATGGCCAATCCACCTAACTCCATTTCTTCCAGCCTATTTGTTGCACAATCAGTTCCTGGTCGGATTGTTCGCTCATTGCGAGAGATCCCTGTTGCTAATCTTTTCTGACCGGCCATCTGATCTTGAGTAGTATTGAGCGAATACAGCTGTTATTGAAGGTCTGTAGTTTGTTTGAGGTGCCCTTTATGACGCGCAGTGCAAGTCTCTGATTCGTAGAGTGAGTAGCACTGACGACTGACTTCACATTGGAGTTGAAAATCCGGATCTTATTTTCACTTTCATGCTGAGTGCTGCTGATCTCCACACAGACTTGAGAGTAATGAAAGCTTGTCTTGCTTTTCCGATCCGTGCTTTGATACCCTCATCAGTTCCGTCCGCCTGTAGTTGAAACGATGCTTCCCAGGTAGGTAGGTGAAGGAGGTTGTTTCTTTCAGGTTCCTCCCATTTATGCTGGCTGATTGTTGTATGTTGTTGCTGTTGCTGTTGGTGTTGGCCAGGAATCTTCATTACCTCTGTTTTATCTATGTTCACCTGAATTGAAGTCCTATCTTCTCTGGATGCTTGTTCAGCCAACTTGTTGCAATTCACTTGCATATCTTCCACTTTGTGGGAAATCAGACATATATCGTCATCGGCGAAGTCCAGATCCTCCAAGTATTTTGTGTGAGTCCATTTTATGCCTGTTTCCTCTCTGCCCACTGTCTGTCGCATTATCCAATCTACTGCAATCAGGACAATCATTGGAGATAGTAGACAGACAGCCTTGTCTTACTTCCGTCCTCACTTCGAAGGATTTCGTAAGTTTCCTGTTGTGGATTACTTGGTATGCAGCATTGTTGTACAACTGTTGGATGAGATGTATAATTGTCGGCGGGACCCCATGGTAGCAGCGAAGTAGTTTCCAAATCACCTCTTGATAGACTCTGATTGTTGAAGGCCTTTTCAAAGTCGATGAAGTTGAGAGAGATGACTGCCATTCCAAGCTTTGTTCAGTGATGATTCGTAGTGTGGCGATTTGATCAATACATGACTTTTTTTAATCCTGAATCCAGCCTGTTCCTGTCGAAGTTTTTCATCCAGGTTGGCTTGTTTGATTCTCTCCAGGATGATGCGGCTTAGTATTTTGTTTGGGATGGACATGAGTATAATACCGCGCCAGTTCTTGCACTGACTTAAGTCTCCTTTCTTTGGTAGTTTGAATAAGTATCCTTTCTTCTTATCCTCCGATACCTTGCCCTCTTTTGCATACCTTCTCCAGTAGTGGTGTCATCAAGTCCTCTGGGTCCATCGGGAAAGGAAAAGAGTAGGGTGAATGTTGAGTATGGACTTAGGATTTAAGATACTTAACAAACACCTGTGAATTTTTAAGTTTTGATCTGCTAGCCAGAACTTGAATATAAATCTATCACTCACCATTGACTGACCACAGGAAAACGTTTTCTGAAGTTTTAGTGAGGAGTCGTGATCAGCTGTGTGTGTGTGTGTGTGTGAGGAAAAATAGTCGCCGATGACATTGGTTGGCCGTCGCGCTATGCATCGCAAATTAGCAGAAGTTAGAATACATGGTTAGTTGGATTCCGTTGTGTAGCAGATGCATAGTATAAGAACTCACCTTGCTACTGGAAGATCCTTGGTTCGATCCCTGCTGGCTGCTGCCTACTCCTAAAGAGTATTTAGACAAAGAGAAAACAGTTGTTCAATATTGCCTGATTTTCAGTGGCTCTCTAACTGAAGTCAGTCTGTGATCAACCTTGAAGCTATAAGCTTTTATTCACTGAGATAGTTGGGATATGTCTTATACAAATGTGTTGAATCACTACCCATCTGCTTTGCCGACAGGAAATCGTAGCTGTAGTAGGAATAAGTTGGGAAAACACTGAAACACTGAACTGCTCTTCACAAATGGTTGCATAGTATCCTTCGTGTTAATTGGTATGCTGTGATGAGTGATCTTCAGGTAAGACATAAAATGCTAAATAAGGGAGGGAAGTCAATTGTGTTGAGACTGTAAATTTACATCGATTGCGATGTCTCGGATATGTGTTACGCATGCTGAGTCTTCACTTTACTTGTCATGCAGTGTTAGCTGACATAGAATTAGACTGAAAGGATGTTAGGAAGGGGTGGTCAAATTAACACCCAAAACATCCACACATGAAGTCTTTAACTCTGTTGGTATGTAAGCGTTGATGACTGCCTGGTTGAGGTCCTCGAGATACTATGAATCAGTAACTGCAGAACTGTTAATATGTCTGAAAATCTTTGTCAGTTGTGTAAATGCATCTGTCGTTCTCTGTAATCCTCCGAATCCATTAAGTCGTCATCAGTCTCCTTGTATTTTTTCTTTCTCACATAAGTTTTCGTTTATTATATGGTTTCCTTTGTATTTTCTTTGTTTTCTCTACTGCATTGTGTGCTACTATGAAGTGTGGCCACTGGAATATCTGTACTTTTGTTTTTGCAAAGTTATACGTTGAAAATCTACTTCATTCCTTATTTATCCCTCCTCCCCTCATCGGCGCTTTTCACTGTTTTCTTCTTTCTCTCTCTCTCCCTTCAGATGATCGCACTTTGTCCAGCTCTACCGTTCTGGAGTTTATCTGAACAAAATCCATGCCTTCTAGGCTCAGAATATTGGTGTCGTGACTACAGTACTGCAAAAATGTGTAATGCTCTCCATTATTGTAGTTCAACTGGTTGGAAAACCTATCCATCGAGTAATCAAAATAAAATGTTTAAATCACAATGTGAATTGATGAAATTGTCAGAAATATGTGTTAATTCTGAGCTAGCTAAAAAGTGTAATCGTGTAAATGAATGTTATCAAGAACAAGTGAAAAAATTCTTGAATTTATTCAGTCTTTCATCTATGAATATTGACAATAAAACACCGTGTTCCGTCTGTGTAACAATGACTACACGTTGGCTATTACAATGGGATGTATTCGGTGGACCAATTATTAATCGTAATATATGTGATGTATACAAAGATGCTGAACTTCAACAGGTGAGTTAGTTCTTCTTTTTTTAAAATTTGTAAAAATTTATTTCTACTCATCTATCTAGTAGAATGATTTTGGATTCTATTTATAATGGCTGAGAGGTAAGCTATTCACCTAGTGACTTGAAGGTCTTGGGTTCAGTCGCTTGTGGGGTTTCGGGTGTGTCATGCTGAAGATCTACGCGGTTCTACCTAACATCGATTGAAGTTATACTTAACTGGCTAGTCTTATATTACCTCGGCTGACAGAAAATTATAGAACAGCAATTTAGTCAGTGTATGTGAGTAGACAGTGTGTTGTAGCAATACTCCTGGTTTTAGAACCAGATGATGTAGATTCAAGTATTTAAGAAGAACGTGAATTCCCTTGAGGTCAATATCAAGGTGTAAGGTTTTCTTCTAATTACCATCGACGGTTAAACATGTCTGTTCGTGGATTTTTTTTTATATCGTTTTAACTCAACCTGATGAGTGAGATATCTTTCAGACTTTCGTTCTTGTTGGCAGGGTATATGTAATTTATGAATTCTAGCAAAATATAAAGACATTTAATCGGTGTGTAAAAATGTTAAATCTAAGGAACACCAGAGGCCCTATGCAAGGCACTCAATACAATTGAAATCAAAGTGGCATTTAAACCAACCAAACAACCAACCAACTCACTCAAACATAAACTTTGTCGGCCTAACGATCCAATAGATCCCATTGAAAAGAATAATATAATTTGCCAAATACCAAGTGATGACTGTAATGTGAATTACATAGACCAAACTAGTGGATCGGGGTCGGTTAGATTATCGGAACATAGAAATTTTAGCTAGGTCTAGAGTGCTTTACCCTCCTAAGTTAATCAGTCTTTAAAAAAGCTTGGCCACTGCAAAGCATTCACTTGTACGTAGTCACACAATAGAGTGGGATGGGAAGGGTAAAAGTGGAAAATTGAAATAAAAAAACAGCAAAGGGTGTGAGTGACTACTATGTGAAAACAAAACAGGTAGATCAGTGAAGAAACTCTTTTCGGCGGCGAATTCATTTTCTCAGCTGTACAATCGCAAATATATATGTGTTATTTTGTATGTATGTGTACATTAAGTTTGTCAAACAAAATTACAATCGGTTATGGTTATTTTAACTAAACAGGTGAAGATTGGTAATACAAGTCAAGAAAACTAGGTGTTAATGAAATTAGGGTGGCAACAAAGGTGATGAGTTGTCACAATCGATTGTTAAAAAAATTTATGTAATAATATGAATAGTTTGATGAGTGAGTTTTACTCAGGATGCACATAGAAACAAAGTAGATAATACGAAATTATGGAAGAGTTCTAAATGAATAGAAGAATTATAAGCAATTCAAGAACAGGCAAAGAAACAAAATTAAGTCATTAAAATCAAAAAATCAAATGGAAAAGAAAAGTTGTTACCAGTGGTTGAATAATTCTCTTTTGTATTCACAGCTGCGGTTTTTCGATGTGAATGGCCAGAGCTTCAGCGATACAAAGAAGACGAAACCGTATTGCCTTTGATAGGTTATTCTTGACTTTGTAGATTACTTTGAAGCAGGAGGCGTTTTGTTGAAATGGAATGATCAGTATTAACCAGGTGTTCAATTATCGCACTCCTTATTGCACCACTAATGCCTTTTCGCAACCATGCTGGATAGTGTTCTCGAATCCTCTTGGACAGGATGCGCGTCGAACGACCGATGTACCTGGCTCCACAGCAGCAGGTGAACTGATATATGCACATAGAAGTAGTCGGATGCGGGATCTTGTCCTTGAGGCTTCTGCAAATCATTGGGCGACTGGAGAACACTATTCTTAGTGTTGCTGCAAAGAATGTTCTTCTCAGAGATGATGTGATCCTTCTCTTGAGAATATCGCCTGCTAAGTCTGCCTTGAAATCCAAGTTCATGTAGAGTTTCTTTTTAGGCGCAATTATGAAGTCATATGAATAGATCGATATAATTATGAGCAATAAATTGTGTTATATGAAATAAGCTTATTTAGTATGGGACGAAATGTTTTAGTTTTTCGTCCAAGCAACAAACTACCACATTTTTATATGATTCGTGAGACTTATGTTAGTTTGTTCATATGAATTAAACAAACTGATTTCTTTTTCTTGCACTGTACTGCTGATTTCTCCTTTTGTCGTCATATTGAAAATGATATTTGTGGCTCGTTTCACTCTAACACCTGGGTTTTCACTCACTTTCAGAATGTTGGATAGTTAGTGGCCGTCAGCAGAAAGCGCTGAATATCAATTTCATGCTCATTGGCTGGCACTTGCCATATAGACATATTTGAAAACTTGTGGAAACTCATTTGCCTTCAGAGGTCGACATCATTCAGTGCTCCAGTCAGACACATTGCTACACAGCTATCTGGATATCGACTGGTCTTGCATAAGACTGCAATTATGCATTGATTGGGCGCTTAGGAAGTAAACAATGTCATTCGTGCTGACTGAATGTTACCAGTCAAGTTTGCATTGCAGTCATCAAGTTAGTAGTTGGTTCACTATTGAGATGAGCCTGCAATAGATGTTAGGCGGTTGGCTTCCTGTTGATTGCTTTCAGCTTTCTAATATGATTTGAAAGTACACTGTGGTGGTGGTGGTGGTGAATCATTCAGTTTGGTGACTATACTGCAAACTTGTCTAACGAAGTTCAGTCAGTACCAACAGGATCAGACAATTCATTTTCACCCGGTGTGTGGGTGCGTACTGATGAAGAGTCCAAACAAGACTGACCAAACAGCTGTCGAGCACTCCCTGCAGGTTTTCCAATGGTTCTCTAACTGACCAATGTCAGCTCATGATGAAATCCTGTAACCAATCAACCAAATCCCTACAAACCAATACTTAAACATTTTCACCATATTAGTTGTTAACTGTAGTTTTTTTGGCTTTGTGTAATTTGTGTTTTGTTTTTCCTCTTTTGTGTGTGTGTGTTTAGTGTTATCAAGTCGTCGAAAAGGCTGGAATGCTTCTGATCAATTCGCGTAAAGATCGTCAGCGTGTTGAAGAAATATGCGCTGTAAGTAATGCTGTTAACCCCTTAGGAATCTTTTTGAACTCCTAATATTTACATTTTTTCCTATACGATGAATTATATTTAGAGTTGCAGTTAGGCATTAACATATTCATTTTCGTATAACTTCTGGTGTTTTCTGGGAAACTTAAACATCAAAGTTGGCAAAATCAGTAGGACACGCTACACTATCTGCACCTTCAAGAAAACAGTGCTACGCTTAAATGAGAACCGACGGGTTGGGAGTGTGTATAAGGATGACATGGAGGAGATTGTGTGAGGAGCAAAATGAAAGCTTGTAGGTAATCTTGGTGCAATGTGTCGCTGAAGCTCTATGTTCCACTCGGAATTCTGATAAATTTAGGAATTCAGTAATTTAGCACCAAACAAGACCAAGACTAGCTGTCTTTGATCATAGGTGCCTGCGTTCTATTTCCCGTGTAAAGTGGCATAATAAGGTGAGCAACATTGAGGTTAGGCGTAGAGTTCTAGGTAAACAGGGGAAATCAATCGACGAAGTCGTGAAGCTACAAAGACTGAGATGGTTAGGACATGTGTTACGTATGCCAAGCCATCGCCTCCCTCGACGAGCAATGTTAGCGGATATAGGGTCAGGCTGGAAAAAAGCTAGCGGCGGTCAAACAAAAACTTGGCATCAGTCAATGAAATCCACAACAGTTGGTCTAAGCCACGTAGGACGGTGTAGACTTCCAGGCTGGGGTCCTCGGAACGGTAAAAATCTATGGTTGGAAACAATTGGTGACATGGCTCAAAATCGTTCTCAGTGGCCAGCGCAGATGCATCCACTCCCTGTGACTTATGATCTTCAATGAAACTGTTTTGTATTTCTTTATTACTCCTTTGTCTCACACCTCTGCTCACTGTTTCTATTATGCTTTTCTTGTACTTTCTTCTCTTGCTTCGCGTGCTACACGGAATGTGGCGACTTGAACTTCCGCACATTTGTGCAAAGTTCTATGTCGAAAACAGACAGACAGACAGCACCAAACAACATTTGTAACCGGTTGAATAAGAGTTTATAAATCTAGTTACTCAATAGACTAACTAGTACATAGCTCCTTGGAAGTGTAACCTTAATCGAGAGCATCTTCATCCACCGAAATAAAAGGACACTAAACAAAATGAATTATACTACTTGGAACGAGTATTCCTCCAATCGCATGACTGTGTTTAAAAACGTAGAATTCTGCAAAACAAATTACACCAGTTAAATTAGTCTTATTTCACTAAATTATACATAATGGTGAGGGAAAGAGATGAGATGAAAATAGGTGCTTCGGTGGTTCATTGGTAAAATGTTTACCAACCACAAACCACCTGCATGGTTGGTGAACCTAAACCCCTGTTAGTTTACCAGCCGATGACAGTAAGCCTGAAAAGGAGGGATGGTTAGACGTGGACTAGCAACAGCACTGCTACTGAAACTTCAAGACTTAAACCTTGAAGCCACAAGTAAGATGTTGCTGCAAGACTTAGCTATACCGACTCCTAACTTATAGGTAGGGAATGAAACGACTAAGATTGTTGACCACTTCACCTATTTAGGAAGGAAGTTGCATTAGCTCTCATGAATACAAAAGGCTTGTGTTGCTAACCTAGGTTATCTCTAGTATTGATGTGATGCCCTGCTATCGGTCAAGTGATGTGTGTAATGAGCAGGAGGTCGCTCCATCCTCCTCTTTGTTTGACTGTTAGACGTGGCCATTGATAGTGGAAGATATGGAAGGGCTGACTTTCCTTGATCATAGCTGTCTGCGTTTTATCTCTCGTATTACGTGTTGGAATATGGTGAGGTTAGGCAAGAGTGTTAGGCAAGGAGCAGCCAATGGGACTATTAAGTTGCATCGGCCAAGGTGGGTAAGGCATGAACTACGCATGCCAAGCCCATCAACTTCCTCATTGGAAGATGTTAGCTGACATAGAATTAGTTTGGAAAACGGTTAGAGAGGTGGTCACAATCAACAACTCGCATGTATCCATGGTGTCTTCGACATTGTTTGTTTGAGCCATCTAAGCAGAATGAAACTGAATCAATCAGTCAGTCAGTTGCAGATCATAAATTGTTATTAATGAAGGAGATGCATCCATTCTTTGACGCTTTGTTTCATCAATATTTATTTATTCAGTCTTTTCCATCGCATTCATCTTTGTCTATTGCAGTACAGTTCCGTGTATGTTTCCCTTCTTTGTGTGTGGTTAATCGGAGTGTAGCAACTATAGCTAGTGTTTACAGCTTTATTCACTGTCCTACATTGATTGTTAAATCAGTCACTCGGTTGTTTCATTGTATTCTGTGACTTGTTAACTTGAGAGCTCTGTCTTCGATCAATGGATCTCAGATTCCTACCTGCCTTTCCTATGATGGCATTCATTTCTAGGTGATGGCGAATTGTCATCTAAATCGATAACAACCAGTAGTGTCCGACAGGGATGTCCACTTTCCCCATTTCTGTTTAACTTCATCATAAATATGCTAATGGAAGTATCCTTAACTGAACTTAACGACTTAGGAGTCGACTTGTTACCAGGGAATAGTCTTATGGACTTAGAATATGCAGATGACATAGTCCTGTTAGAGGAGGATGGTGACAAAATGCAGAATCTTCTGACCACCTTGAACAGCAATCTTCGTATGTTTGGCATGCGATTCACCCCTGTAAAACGTAAGATGCTGCTACAGGACTGGACTACTTCAACTCCTAGCTTAGTGATAGGGGGGAGTGAAGTGATAGAACATGTTGACCACTTCACCTATTTGGGAAGTTGTATCAGCACCAACGGACTGATTGGTGACGAAATCTCAGCACGGATCCGAAAAGCTCGAGCTGCTTTCGCTGACTAACATCGTCTCTGGCGTAGGCGTGACATCCGGCTATCAACCAAGGGACGTGTGTACTGCTCATCAGTTCGCTCCGTCCTTCTCTATGGCTCTGAAACATGGCGAATACGAGTTGAAGACATGAAAAGGTTGACTGCTTTCGATCATAGATGTCTGCGATCTCTGTCTCACGTTAGGTGGTTTAACAAGGTAAGTAATGTTGGCGTTAGGCGTCGAGTGTTGGGCAAAGAGGGAAAATCAGTCGACGAGGCTATAAAGTTACATCGATTTAGATGGCTAGGTCAGGTGGTGCGCATGCCTAACCATCGCCTCGCCTCCCCCGACGACGGGCATTACTAGCTGATATAGGTGGTGCAGGTTGGAAAAGAGTAAGTGGTGGCCGAAGAAAAACATGGCCTCATCAATCCATGAAATCCTTGACAGTTAAACTGAGTCAGTCAGGTAGGGAGATGCAGACTTCCTGACTGGTTGGGTTCCTCGGGACTGTAGGAATCAGTGGCTGGAGACAACAGGTGACATGGCTCAAAATCGTTGTCAATGGCCAGCGCAGATGTATTCAGTCTCTGTAATCTTTCATATTCCTTTCTACCATTACCCATTCTGTTTCACTCTTATACCTGTTAAACTCTATTGATTCTCTTCACTCATCTTCTTGTCTACCTCTGTGTGGTATTTGGAAGGTGGCAACTCGAACTGGTGCACTTTGGTGCCAAGTTCTATGTTGAATCCAGACAGAGAGACAGGCTGTGAAGAAGTGAAGCACATTATTTCTGGAGCAGTTGTGATATCCGGCTGTCTATCTAATGACAAATTCTCTATGCAGCGGCTCAGTCAATCATTACGCATAGCTGCGACACGGTTGACTATGACAGAAGGTTATCCATGTCTTTGATGTTTATTAATGTAGTTACATGTGCGTTGGTGGCACAGCGGTTAGGACGCTCGCCGACCATGCACATGGTCCGGGGTTCGATCCCCGGCCGACTCTTTTGTATACCTCACTAAGCCAGAAATAATGCTGGTAAAGAGGAAAGTTTGGGCATGAGGCTAGCAACCGTATCCTGTAAAAATAAGCACCACTGCTACAGAAACTTCAAGCCAATAGCTTGAAGCCCTATGTTCCACTGGGGAACGTGAAGGAAAAAAAGTGTAGTTACATAAGGAGAGTTAGTTGATAGATATTGTTATGAACCTTAATCGATAGAAATGACTGCAACACGTAGGGAAGTATAGACTGCCAGGTTAGGGTTGAGACGATTGGTTATATGGTTCAACCGCATACACTTGAACCAAAAATACGGTGTGGAATCAAGCTGTAATCAGAATAAATATTTATATATTTTGTATCTATTGCTTATAACAGTCATTCTTATTATTTACTACTACTATTAATACTAATCATCTTTTTTGTGCACAAACCTAACCTACTGAATTACAGCGTACAATTCATTGTTCACCAGTATCAGACGAAGATATAAAAGACAATCAACTCACTTATGAAAGATTAGAACAACAAGAAGGCCTTGCTGCTAATGAATTCGAAAGGATCGCTTGTCTAGGCGGTCCTACATACTGGTGTTCATCAAAGGAGACAGCGAAAAAGTGTAATGCAACGAATTATTGTCAAGTCGCCTATTGGCCTGATATTCATCATAACAGCAACAACAACAATAATAATGTGAATGAAGATGTCTCAAAACTAGAAAATATTCGAAATAATAATAATAATAATCATGAAGACAATACAGTTACCCCAAGGATTAAAACACAATCTGAACATCTATTAGGCATTAAACCATGTACATGGGGACCGGCTTATTGGTGTATATCAGAGAAAACAGCTAAAGAATGCGGTGTTGAAGCTTTAAGCCATTGTCAAGAAAAAGTTTGGACAACCAAATCACCATCATCATCATCATCAACAGCTACAACCACAACCACAGTGACTACATTACCACATAATAAAAAGTATTATGGGAGTGAAAGATGCCTACGCGGGCCAGCATTTTGGTGTGCATCATTCAATAATGCTAAATTATGCGGTGACCATGCTGAAAAGTATTGTATCAATTATGTCTGGTCAAATATTCATAAAATAAAGGTCAGCGCGAAAAACCCGTAACAATTGGATTCATGATTATCCTAGTTGTTGGTGGTGGTGTTTCTGTTTGTTGTTTCGTCTCCCAAGAAAGTGACATTAAAAAATTTATTGTTCACACGCTTACTCACTGTCTTGGGCGCCGCCCTTATTTCCTTTCTCATTACATCATACATTTTATACTTCCAGAATATACATCTAATAAAATTGAGATTAAGAAGGAAAACTCGTGTCTCCTTTTTCATATTTTCTATGCTTGAATATAAAGCAAAATAATGAAATTAAAAAAAAACAACAACAAATAAACATTTCATTTGATTAAGATGTAAAATGATTCAAAGAATTCTTTTTTTCTGCTGTTTTCTAATTCATCCTCATTTTCCAATCATCTACTTGTGTGTGTGTGTGTGCGCGTTTGAATTCAGTGTGTACTGACTGCTTGATTCAAAGCTGTTTTTAAAATAAAATAATATTTATTATATCAGCTATTCTGTTCTCTTTTGTTTGTTTGTTTGGGTAAAGACTGAGTAAGTTGTATTAGCACCAACGGACTGATTGGCGATGAAATCTCAGCACGGATCCGAAAAGCTCGAGCTGCTTTCGCTGACTTACACCATCTCTGGCGTAGGCGTGACATCCGGCCATCAACCAAGGGACGTGCGTACTGCTCATCAGTTCGCTCCGTCCTTCTCTATGGCTCTGAAACATGGCGAATACGAGTTGAAGACATGAAAAGGTTGACTGCTTTCGATCATAGATGTCTGCGATCTCTGTCTCACGTTAGGTGGTATAATAAGGTAAGTAATGTTGACGTTAGGCGTCGAGTGTTGGGCAAAGAGGGAAAATCAGTCGACGAGGCTATAAAGTTACATCGATTTAGATGGCTAGGTCAGGTGGTGCGCATGCCTAACCATCGCCTCGCCTCCCCCGACGACGGGCATTACTAGCTGATATAGGTGGTGCAGGTTGGAAAAGAGTAAGTGGTGGCCGAAGAAAAACATGGCCTCATCAATCCATGAAATCCTTGACAGTTAAACTGAGTCAGTCAGGTAGGGAGATGCAGACTTCCTGACTGGTTGGGTTCCTCGGGACTGTAGGAATCAATGGCTGGTGACAATAGGTGACATGGCTCAGAATCATTGTCAATGGCCAGCGCAGATGTATTCAGTCTCTGTAATCTTTCATATTCCTTTCTACCATTACCCATTCTGTTTCACTCTTATACCTGTTAAATTCTATTGATTCTCTTCACTCATCTTCTTGTCTACCTCTGTGTGGTATTTGGAAGGTAGCAACTCGAACTGGTGCACTTTGGTGCCAAGTTCTGTGTTGAATCCAGACAGATAGAGTAAGGGACTGAACGAGGAGAGATATTATTTAAATATATAGTAAATATTCCCATAGTAATATTTAGAACATTCTATTTAAGCGCGAACAATATTGTAGTTTCAGTTAGATCTCATCAGGCTTAACTCTAATATATGTACAGATAAGTTTACAAATGAAAATTCAAATATAAACCAGTCATGGTGTTTTGTCTATAGGATATAATATGGAGATGAAGAAGCGTGTATAGAAAAAGCACATTCACAGGGCAATACACACGCACACACACTTCCTTGGTTACGTGCCCATAAAAGGAATGTTGTTATAAATGTCTTGCGAGCAGAGCAAGAAAGATATGTACGGATGACCTCTTACAAAAGGAATTTGAATATATATTCACGATTCCTTGACAGAGATGGATTGGCTATCCGAGTAGTTTCATAAAGAAACATATGAAAACATCAGAGAAAAAACCTGAGACTCTGACTGCACGCAAGAAACCTCTATTTATTAAGTCACAATTTATTGGTGATATTCTATTCCAAAGACTTTCAAGGAGTATACGTAGAACATTTTACGCAGCACACCTATGTTTGTCATTCTCTAGCCGACGAATGATTGGACGCAAACGAAGGATAAGCTTGATAGTTTTGCCACATCTATGTGCATTTATCAATTCAACTGAACCTGCGGTGACAGTTATGTTGGTCGCACCACTAGACAGCTTAGGCAGCCAACGTGTTAGTGAACATCTCCCATCGTGGTTTGGCAAAGGCCAGACAAAAACAATCCATAGCTCAATTTTGTCACATTTAATTGATAGTGGTCATGTCATCGAGAAAACTATAGCCTTCAAAGTAATTCATTGTATCCCACCGAATCTTTCTGATAGACTTCGTATTCGTCTGCTGCACACAGCTGAGGCAAGCGATAGGCGTTCGAACTATTAAACCTAAATTATGCATTCAAAAGAAGTTCGTGCAGCCATTATCCCTCCCATGGCCCATTAAAGACATAACCAACTAATGATGGATGTTGTCATTTTGTGTCTGAAAATGAATTGAATTTATTTCCATAGCTTTCAACGTCATCACTGAGTGTATAACTCAATGCTGCATACCAAGTAATCCACAACGGGAAACTTACGGAATCCTTCGAAGTGAGAAAGGGAGTAAGACAAGTTGGCTGTCTACTATCGCCAATGATTTTCCTCATTGCACTAGATTGGATAATGCCACAAATAGTGGGCAATGAGGAAATAGGCATAAAATGGAACCACACAATAAGAAACTTGGAGGGTCTGGACTTCGCCGATGATATACATCTGATTTCCCACAAACTGGAAGATATGCAAGTGAAAACCAACAAGTTAGCAGAATAAGCATCAAAGGTAGGACTCCAAGTAAACATAGAGAAAACAGAGGTAGTGGTGAAGATTCCTCATGAAGAGTTCCAAACTAGGACGAAATAGCTGTCCAGTGCTCTCTGCAGGTTTTCCAGTGGTTCTCTAATCAATGTCAGCTCATGATGAAATCCTCCATGCGATCAAGCTAAGGATATTTCGTATAGTTTTCTTGATTATCACTCTCTTTCTGTCTCTCTACCCTAGAACAAGACATATAATTAGAATTTAGATGAGAGAAAATAGGGGGTTAATTATTGTGTAATTATCAGGGAAATTGGACAAAAATTATCAGAGGATATGTCAGCTATCAGATTTATCTGCATTTGGTGGAAAGAAGATATTTAAAACAATTTGCCACTTTTACAATTTTGGATAGCGTGTATGTGTCTATGGACACACATACATGGGGAGGAGTAATCATGCATTGCATGTAAAGGTGTGAGAGCATATCCCGAAATGGGTAGAAAAACAATTGAATTGTGGTAAACCAATAGACGCAGGTGACAGACTACCAACTTCGTCTATAGCTAAACATCTAATCGAGATGAAGCATAAGATTGATGTTAACTCAGCCTTTAAGGTCATCTATAAAAGTGGTCAAGGATGCTTATTGAAATACGCTGAGGCTATATCTATTCATAAACCTAAACTTCCCCCCTGTGTTTTCAAAAACAGTTTATTATTACTCTTAACTTACCTTGGTAATCCCTAATTGATTGGATTACCAAACGTTGTGTTAATCATTCTTAAATCCCTTTTTTTTGTCACTTTGTTTAATTTAATTGCCCTTAGTTTTTTCACATATATATCGACTTGACTAGTAAATGTGTTTGAATAAGGCATTAAGAAGACAAATTTCGCGAGATGATATCATTTCGTAGTTTCTTTACAACCGCTTTACAACTAACATGGTTAACAATGATAAAATGAAATGCGCATCCTGGATTCCACTGCTAGCCACCATCCACCAATTGTATACTAACTAAATGCCCAGACATCGTCGAAGCATCTGCACAAGAAGCCGACATGTCAACCTGAGACCGAGCACTTCGGTCCAATCAATCGACGGGAAAATCAAAAATTCAATTCAATAATGATAAAATGAAGTTCATGAAAACTACTCAGTTAAATAAAAACAAAAGTACATACTAATGACCAATCATATTTAGATAGGTCATGTAGTCCAGGGTAGGCGAAGATCGAAGTCTATTGATTTTCGTATACACAGTTTAGGCTGTGTGTGATTAATCCAAAGTGCTTCCATCACCTTCAATAACCTTGAATTAGAGTTATGTGAAATAATTGTGAAACAGTCATTAATATTGATTTTGTGACCAGACCTTAATAAGTGTTTTGCAATGGATGATGCTGGATTTCTACTAAGATTAATCGCGTTAGGATTTTCGATATGATTTACTAGCCATTTTGGAAAATGTTCTTTTCGATGACATTGGAACAATCTGTTAGTTCTACCTATATAGGTGTCACCGCAGCTGCAGGTGAACTTGTAGATACAGTTTGAAGTAGAGTCCACAGAATTTCGTCCTTTAATCGTAGGTACAGGGATCGAAAATGTTCGGCAAGTGAGAGAAAGAGATGCCTTCGCCTACCCTGGACTACATGACCTATCTAAATATGATTGGTCATTAGTATGTACTTTTGTTTTTATTTAACTGAGTAATTTTCATGAACTTTATTTTATCATTGTTAACCATGTTAGTTGTAAAGCGGTTGTAAAGAAACTACGAAATGATATCATCTCGCGAAATTTGTCTTCTTAATGCCTTATTCAAATTTATCAAAGGGACTAATTGTTTTAGTAAATGTGTGATCAGGTTGTTCGAAATGTATAGCGGAAAGAAGATATGATTATATTTATAGCAGGCGTTTTGACTCTATCGAATAAGGATGATTCTGCAGAAGGCATCTCCACTAACGCCTAGTTTAATTTTAGGTAATGGAATAGTCTGTTGTTATATGGTTGAAGAAATTCGACAGGAAGCCCTGAACTAAAGTTTTGTGCTTACCAGCACTTGTCAACAAGGCGTATTGTAGGAGGTTGTAATATGTTAAATTCGAAGATGTTGACCAATTCATGTATTAGGGATTCTCATTATCCTAATCAGAGCAATTACTGATTAAATCTTAACTCGGATACTGGAGCACGTTGACCACTTCACTTATTTGGGAAGTACCATCGGCACGGATACAGAGAGCTAGTTTCGAATAGGCCAGTTTACGGCGTCTCTGGCTTGGTAGACGTGATAAGCGACTGGCTATCGACCAAAGAGCA